CCTTTTAGATATATAGATTCCTGAGGGGTCTGTCTAACCCTGACGTTATTCACTTTCTACAAAACAGGGTCCACCAGGCCCACCAGGCAGAGATGGTGAAGACGGTATCCCAGGTCCCCCTGGTCCACCCGGTCCCCCTGGCCCCCCTGGTCTTGGCGGGGTAAGGTGTCTTCAGCACTGCTAACTTACAGCTGACTTCAGTTTTGTTATACCTCTATTGGAAGAAGGCTCATTGTGGAACTTATTTTTAGCAGTTAAGGGAGAGTCTGCTATTGAATATTGGTACATTTTCTTTCATTTTCTTTCATTTCTTCTTTCAAGATTCTGCTTTGCCTGTTCTCTTTGTGTGCCCTTGTCAATTACAGGCCTGGTCTTTGTGTGCACGGGAGGTAGCTGCAGCCCTCACAACTATTATTTAATTTGGGGATTTAATATCTTTCATCAGTAGGGCACAAATAAGAGGTGTTGCATTATTAAAGAGTTTGATTAGATTGAATTATAAGTGAAATCCCTGATCTTCAGCAATTTCACAAACATCCTACTCTTTTTATTCTCCTTGGCTTGAAGTCTGCTGAACCAACATTCAAAAGTAGTTTTAGGTTTAATTTGCTTGAAACTAATTTGAGAAAAGTACATTTCCCTTTTTCATTAATATCTTCTTTTCGCTTTATGTCTTTAACAATGGTATGAGTGCCAAATGGCCTCACTGCAGGAAGGAAAACATATTTGCTTAATTGGTTAGCACTATGAATCAGAAGCCTGATTCTAATACCCAACTGTATGCCAGTAAAATAAGACCTTTCTCCCCCAAAAGATCTTATTATGATTGCTTATCTACTGAGTGCATTAAAAAGCACCTTTTTTAATAGATCTACTACTATAAGAAAGATCTTTAACAGTAAAGTTATTACTGTGAACTATTTTTTAAAAGTTTAATCTTCCAAGGGGCATTTTAATTTAATTTTCCTCTAAACTTGAAAACTCTTTATATCCTTTTTGAAACTCAAGCATGAAAAAGGTCTCTTAGTCACTTTGGGTAGTTCTGGAGGAGCTGGGCAGCAGGTGAAAATAGAAAAGTGACCTCTTGTTCTCTGCTTAATTTATCAGGGATCCCCAGGAACTTAAAGTATAGAAAGCTCCCCCTTCTCAGTGTAGAGGTTTAGGGGGTGGGGACAGGGGGGAGGTGAGTGACCACGCGGGAAAGGGTTTGAAAAATAAGGTAGGGAAGCTTCCCACTTCAAACCAGGTGTGGACTAAATTTTTTTAAGCTTGCATTTTTTCCTCACTTTTTAGGAACTTAGCTCATTGTGGAATTATAAACTAATAATTATATAAAAATATAGCTCCCTTTTAAACAATAGTGTAAACATCTTTACAAGTAGAATGAGAAACTGAACTATAGGGCTGGTAATTATAACGTATATACTATGTTTTCTCCCCTCTAGAACTTTGCGGCTCAGTATGACCCTGGAAAAGGAGTTGGCCCTGGACCAATGGTATGCTTATCTCTTTTTATCTTAACCAAAACCAAAAGAATTTATTTTTAATGTTCAATATTTCACATTGCCATTTCCTGAGTTCCCGAGGTTAACACTCAATACTTAGATCAGATGAAAGCGGTATCTCCTTTTATATTCAAAGCTATAATAATCTGAGCCTAGTTTGGGGGTTCACTTTTCTCCACAACCATGTTTCCAAAGTATAAATAATCTCTGGACATAGTAACCATGGCTTAGATAAATCAATTTAACTCAAAGCTTGATCACTCTGATTAACTTTTTTTACATCCTTTGCTATTGCTCAGAATTTTAAGCAACCCTTAGAGAGACGGAGCTATTAAGTTCTATAAACTTGCCGGAAAGGAACACGTTCTAGTCCATCCCATTCGTTCTACTGCGAGAGAGTTTAAGCCCTTTCCCAAGGCCATGGAAGTGGTTAATGGCAGAATTAGGACTAACCTCCAAGCAGGATGTCTAATAATCAACAACGTCATGTCTTGTGTATCTAGTATTCGAATAAAACATCAACTTATTCAACAAATATTTATCAGGTGCCTTCAGTGAGCCCCCAGCTGCCTTATGCACTAGGGATGCAGCAGTGACTATGACAGAATCTCACCCTCCCTCAAGTACTTAACCAATACAGGAAGTTTCTTTTTATACCTTTCAATAAAAATTCCCCTTTTTGTCTATTAGCTATAAATCAATATAGAAGAGAATATGAATGTAATTTAGCATTCATATCACTCAGCACACATAGTTAGCAACATATCCTATAATTTGAGTAACATCTTGAAAAGCATCTATATGATTATGATGATGATGGTCTATCTTTAACAAGTGAACCTTCCAACAAGCCGTAGTGAGATGTGTTAGGGAAAAAAATGATACGAGCATGCAAAATATATACTAGTATGTATAAAATAAAGGGGAAAATTGCTGGAACTAAAAACATTAAGTTGATTAAACACTGCAGTTTAAAGTTAATATGGTCTTTAAAATACAAATTTTACCTGGACAATGCATTCGGTGCTCTATCTTCAAAAGAAGATGTTTGGCTGGACCTAATGGTCCGCAATAAGCTAATACACTATAAGGGCAAGATAATATTTTCTGTAAATTAAAACTCTCACTTGAGAAGTAATGTGCCTTTAATTGATGATTTCCAATTTCCTGCTTTTGCCTGGTAATTTAAGGCATCCATATGTGAAATGAAGAAGTAGAGATTTTCTTTGGCTTTGTTTATATTGGATATTTGAAATTAGCCGTCTTAGCTAATGCTGGACATTAGTCAGTTTTAAAGCAGCACCTATGTCTCAAGAAAAAGCTAAAGGGGAAAAAAGTGAAACACTAATAATAATTTTTAAAAAGCCTGCATAAGCCCAAAAAATTAATATGGATTTCAGATTCCCCTGACTTTGGAACATTCTCTGGGGGGCATAAAAGAGAGTGTTTTACTTTTAAATATCAGTGGAATATAATTTAAGCTTTTACATCCACACACAGTCACAGACATATGTAATCAACAGATATGTGGCTCACAAATAAGAAAGATAGGCAGCATAAAGTATTAAAATAATTTTCCATGTTGGAAAATCAATAACTATAAAACCCCACAGGGTTCTTCTCTGAATTAATGAGTAATCATGGTCCGCCTCACAGCCCCCACAAAATAAACTACCTTTTATGTAAATGAAATTGTTGCAAATACGTGGAAAAATGAATAAATGTAATTAAAAATTCATGGAGTCAAAGAAAATTATTTTTAACGTATACCTAAACAATCATTTTGATTGAAAAGTGACAGTTTCTTTTAATGTGGAAGCAATTTCTAAAAGCAAACAATTCTTATAATTAAGATGATGTGCTTTTTAATAAAATCCATATTATTTCACCCTAGGCTTTCATGCAGTGGGGCAGACTTGCCTACAGAGCCCCCATGGTTCATGTGTCACGAACAAATTACCCTAGACTTGTCTATGCAATATTTTCAGCGTGAAGGAGCCGGCCCCTACAGGAGAGCTTGCCCAGGCATTCATTACTGCATGGGGGTTGAGGGGGAGTCACGAATGTGGAGCCAGCTCCCAAACTAGTAACGCCGCTTGGCTCTACTTGTGTGCTACAGAACGAAGAACAAAAAGAACAATCTGCCATCATTGTGGGCCACAGTTTCAGGAAAAAAGCAGATCCTTGCAGGAGGATGTTTCAATAATGTTTTCTTTTTCCTTCACCCCTCACTACATCCCCTTTTGTTTGACAGTTTCATTGGTCACCAATGAAAGGAGCCATAAGGTTATATAACAAGCCTCCCTCTAATCCTTAAGAAGGCCTTCTGATCCTTTTCAACTCATGCCTCTTGTGCCAAAAAAACATATCAATTTCTTAGCTGACTATGACACGGGGAGATGACATATGATGAAGGGAACCCAAATGGAAAAGCTTCGCCAGCTGCATAGAAGGCGGTCATATATTCTCTACTGTGCAAAGGCGGATCCCCTTCATGGCCTTAGAACCGCCTCCGTGTGCCCAGCTGTGCGCGACTGGCAGGAACCTGTGGCCACCCATCCAACTGGGTTCTGCTGATCTGGGTTAGGAGAAGTGAGAGCAAAGGCAGAGAAATAGTGGAGGAAACGTGGGTCATTAAGCACTCCTTTGGGAACACAAAAACTATGAAATAAAACCGGGATAATTGTCTTCATGTGTCCATCGCAAGATGTCTATGGCCCTACTGTGCCCTCCTTTCTAGCCTAAACCAAAGCTGTGGGAGCTTCTCAGTGCAAACTATACTTTTCCTCTTTACAGGGTTTGATGGGACCGAGAGGGCCTCCTGGTGCATCTGGAGCTCCCGTAAGTACCGGAAGCTGGTCGTTCCTCTTCGACAAAAAGACAGAATTAAACAAGGGTGCGGAGCACGACATTTCTGTTTTCTTTTAGGGCCCCCAAGGTTTCCAAGGACCTGCTGGTGAGCCTGGTGAGCCTGGCCAAACTGTGAGTACATTTTCCCCCTTTGTGGTAAAGATTTTTTTTTTCAAGATGTTTATTGATACAACCTTAATGAAATGATCGGTCTCCTCGTTTCGTAGGGTCCTGCGGGTGCACGTGGTCCCCCTGGGCCTCCTGGCAAGGCCGGTGAGGATGTAAGTATTTACTCATCAGCATTTCCAAAACACCGTCTAAATACTCCTGCCTCAACAAGAATGTCTAGATTCAGATGAAGTATTCTGCCAAAGCTGAATATGCAGGATATAACTCTCCCCATATGGAAAACATTTTTTTAATGAAATCTTAATTTGTTTGGTTTAAGGGAAGTAGTTGTTAAATATATATTTGGACCCACACTTTTATATGACGCCTGTTCCCCCTGTTGTAAAAACCAGGATGTTCCGACTTCCATCTGATGGCTTAGCAAGAAAAACGGCTTACCCTACGATGTTTTCATGTTTCAGGGTCACCCTGGGAAACCTGGACGACCTGGTGAGAGAGGAGTTGTTGGACCACAGGTAAGATTTATTACCCCCGTGTATTCAGTCCAGACACCAGGGGCATCTCGCATACAAGACGGTTGGTAAAACTGGAATCAGTCTAAATGGCCAGGGATGTCTGAACACCTGCACCCCTCACTGAAGACATCCGACAAATCAAGGAGCCTAGTTAAGAAAGCATACAGTTTTCATTAACGCAAATGATGTCGTCTTAATGACAGTAAGCATACTACAAACGAAATCATGTTTTGTACAAATACCATAGTATTACTTACTCAAAATAGAGCAAGTTAATTTACCGCTCTGTGCTTAAAAAAATATCCCAGCCATTGATTCCAAGCTTGAACCTCCACGAGAAGACATACTTTGGAGGGAAGAAATCGCTGTTTTTGAATTGAGAGCGAAAACATTATTTATCTTCTTCTGTGTTTCTTTTTAAGGGTGCTCGCGGTTTCCCTGGGACTCCTGGACTTCCTGGCTTCAAGGGCATTAGGGTGAGCACATTCTTTACCCAGAGGAAAGAAAATGTTATTTTTAGGCAAAACCTCATCTATATTTAAACTCCTGGGTGACACATACTTGCTTCCAAACTCCTGAAAGTCGCCAGAGTAATGAGAGTGAGAGAAGAGTTCGGATGGCTGGAAAGTGCAGTGGGGTATAGTTTTTTCGGTCTGTTCATAGCTCCCAAGAAATGAGAATCCCTACAGAGAAAATTGTATAAAAGGCACATGACGTAAGAGGTATTTATAACCATCTGAAGATCGTAAAATGATTAAAGATGGAAAGAATGTGAGAGAGCATCTAGTTCTATAGCCTTGCCTTTCAAGTGCAGGGAGGTTTAGCAACTTACCTGGGGAAACGGAGCAAGTTTGCTGGGCGCTGGACACTCCATTGCACTGAAGCGGTCACCAGATTCCCCCAGGAGGTTTGGATTTGACCAAGCACTATAATGGGACAGAATTTTAATAATAAGAATTTGCATTTCAGGGACACAATGGTCTGGATGGATTGAAGGGACAGCCTGGTGCTCCAGGTGTGAAGGTAAATACCACATCAGAAGCATTGTTTTTAAAACAATTGACTGTAATTCCCCATCACCATCAGAAAGTATATTTTTCCTGAAGACTGCTTATATTCCAAAGAGTATCTTATTTCCTCTTTAATACTTCAGAGCCCTTAATGGGGAGGATACAGGATTCTGTGACGACAGGCCAATTATTAATAATATTTATTTAATTCAATATTAAACAGTTGAGATAAAAATAATGTCAGTAGTTTCTTCCCCCATTTCCTATCCTCCTGTAATTTCAGCTGATCTCCGCAGCCAAAATAAAAGTAAATAAACATATAATCAGATATTAGAACGCTATGTTATTTTACACTGTAAATTCTCCTTTGCCATGCACAAATTAGATAGGTACATTCATGTCACAATCCACTTTTCAACCTCTTTCCTGTGATTTATCTGTGCACACTCAAAAAATTTTTAATTAGGTAATTAAAGTCTCAGAAGTGTGTTATCTCTTGGCTAGGCTCTTCTCTGACAGCGCTTTCAACTATAAAATGTTCTCTCTCCTATTAAGGAGATAATGTGATATTAAAGTGAATACCAACGTAATTACAAATTAATGAGTGACGAATACTAGTGGGACCAGAAATGAACGTGAATATGGAGAGCCTGCTCTAACTTTCCAGCTGCCACACAAATGGATAAGGTCAAACTCATTCTCCCTAGAGCCTAATGTAATAGCTTAGACTACTAGCCCCAGCATCAGCAAATGTTAGAGCCACAGCGAGCTTTGGAGAACCCCTCGCTTTGCAGCTGAGGGAAACTGAGGCTTAGAGAGAATGAGTGGCTTGCCCAGAGTTAGGAGGCCTTAGGTTGGAATCCCTGACTCTAATTTGCACTTACTCCCAAAGAATACACTTCACATAGAATCCTAGAAATGGAGGGTCCTTAAAGGGTGTCTCCAACCTGTTTCTTCTGTATCTTCATCAGATTATCTAGAAGGAAAGTTTCTTTATGTGTACCATTTTATTAAATTACTGCTCCCCCCCGCCCCCACCACTACCATCATGCTTTTTACTCAAGAATATAGGTTGGAAATAAATAAGATAGTTCTAAAGAATATTAGGAAGCTCTAAATTTCCAGGCATATTTTACAACAGTGAAGATATTTAGTGTTCAAAGTAACTTCAGGGATGCCTGGGTTGTTCATTTGGTTAAGCGACTGACTCTTGATTTCGGCTCAGGTCATGATCTCATGGTTGATGGGTTCGAGCCCCACGATGGGCTCTGTGCTGACACTGTGGAGCCTGGTTGGGATTCTCTCTCCCTCTCTCTCTTCCCTCCCCTCCCCACTCTCAAAATAAATAAATAGAATAAACTTAAAAAGTAACTTTAAAGAGGGTAAATATGATTTGATTGAAAGCAGTTTATCCTCTGCCATCTCTTTTTATGATATTATTCCTAATATGTAAGCCTAGTCGAAATGATATCCAAATCCTAAGGGGAAATATTAGAGCCAGGGTAAATAACACTCAAATAACCACATGTCCTTAGTACTGTGATGTTTGGTATTATCTAAATAAAAGCCTACATTTTAGAAATTTAAAAAATGTATGTGGCATAATTGGGAAGCTGCATGTACACAGAATGTTACAAAATATATAAATGGTTCAAATTAAAATAAGAGGGTAAAAATTACCCAATCAGGACAAAAAATAATCAATACCTGTAATGACCAAACTCCCAATCCTTCTTTTCCATGTAGGGTGAACCCGGTGCTCCTGGTGAAAATGGAACTCCAGGTCAAACAGTAAGTATCGATTACCTGATATATATCTAAATGTGTACGCTCTTTGCAAGCTGGAAACTCTGTAATGTTTTTGCTGACGACCATTTCCCTCAGCACTGTATTCTCTGATATTTTTCTAATAACCTTCTGCATACTTAATTGAAATCCATTACCTTTTAGTTGGAATTAGAACAAGACCTGTTTATTTCTAGTGGATTCTTGCGTATGTTGGAAATTGGACAAAGCAAATGATGCCTGTGACGTTTTTTTACATTAGCATTCTGGATTTCATTGAAAATATTTCTGTTTTTAGGGGGCTCGTGGGCTTCCTGGTGAGAGAGGACGTGTCGGTTCCCCTGGCCCCGCTGTGAGTATTTCCAATTTTGTCCTGTTTTATCCTTTTAAACGGTCCTCTAACAACTGCCGTTTGACTTTTCCTCTTGACTTCTTCTCCTTATTTTCTTCATAGGGTGCCCGTGGAAGTGATGGCAGTGTGGGTCCTGTGGGTCCTGCTGTAAGTTTTGACACCGAAGAATTTGGAAGGGGTTGAGAGTGTGGGATGGGAACTATCTTCCTTATTAATTTATAAAATGACACCATTTTAGACACCTTACCAAGTGTCCTATGAGGTCTTTTGAAAGTTCTATTTGTAAGTACTAGTATCCCTAGGGCTTTTCATTGATGCATAAAGGAAAATCTACCTTACCTGAGATATTTTGAATGTCTCCCCTTTGATATTAATGACGACAGGCTAGCTGTCAGTTTTCTCTTTGCCAATATTAAATAGAAATACGAACCGGCCATTGTGAGCCACTCCAATCTTCTAGTCTTGTTGTGTTGTTAACACAGGAAGTTTCTTATCACATTCGACTTTGATTTCAGGGTCCCATTGGGTCTGCCGGCCCTCCAGGCTTCCCAGGTGCTCCCGGCCCCAAGGTAAAAACACTGGTGACCATTGTCATTACCTTGATAAATTTCTTAATTTGATGTGAAAGATACTGTGTTTGCAGATAGATAATTACAGAACAGGTACCTTAATTAGTCCCCCTTTCCAAGTGGATATAGAAGGACTGCTTTTCTCACTCCAAACGTGAAACAGATCGTGTCTCTGTACTTGAGCCCAAGGCCATAGATGTAAAAAGCCAACATGGAGATTTGTTTTAGGGGACCCCTCTGAAATATACTCCCAGGACTGACTAGCTGAGAAACAGAGTCTCCACGCAGGGAGACAGAGGTATGTGAAGATGGTAGCCAAGATGGCAGAACTAGACCCGGAAAATAGGAACCCAAATCCAAACCTGTGGTACCAAACCAGATAAGGGAACTGACTGCAGCTCTGAAGAAAGTTCATGAAACTTGATGTCCTAAAAATGGAGATACGCTGTTTCATTATTTGCAGACTAATGCCTCAGTGTCATTCCTTCTTTTAGGGTGAACTTGGACCTGTGGGTAACCCTGGTCCCGCTGGCCCCGCGGGTCCCCGTGGTGAAATGGGTCTTCCAGGTGTTTCTGGCCCCGTCGGACCTCCTGTAAGTGGCCACTGTCACTAACCTCAAGGAGTGGAAGAGCGTGAAGGCGGGGTCAGAGAAGACGGGAAATAACTCCCATTAACTGATATCCTTCTCCTTTCTTTTTCTTCTTAGGGTAACCCTGGAGCCAACGGCCTGACTGGTGCTAAGGGTGCTGCTGTGAGTATTTGTCTATTACGTGCTGCTCTGCTTTTAAAAGCACTGTAATGAGCTGGTACCGCGTCACCGCCGGTCACCTCATGATGGCTCACCCTGCATTTCCTTCACAGGGCTTGCCCGGTGTCGCTGGGGCTCCCGGCCTTCCTGGACCCCGGGGTATTCCTGGCCCTGTCGGTGCTGCTGGTGCTACTGGTGCCAGAGGACTCGTTGTAAGTGATCATGGCCACGGCTTTCAGCTTCCTGAAATACTGGCTGTGCCATCATTTTGTCGCCATCTAGACTTCCTCTTGTGGGTTTATCATTTTTCTTTTTTCTTTCCTCACCATTTTTAGTCTGTATTTCTTCTATGAGTGCGTGCACATGTATGTTCTCTCTGTCTCTGTCTCTGTCTCTCTCTCTCTCTCTCTCTCACACACACACACACACACACACGCACACGCACACGCACACGCACGCAGACCCTCCCGCTACCCTAGAACACTGCCCAAAGATCAGCGAGGTACCTTTCTATTGTCAGCCTTGTCCTTTCACCTAAACCATTTGCCTGTAAGCTGTTTAAATATGAACTGGGCACATTTCTCACGGAACTGAACTTCTCTTTACCTTGATCCCTGAATATTCCAAGATGTTTGTCTGTAAGAGAGTTGGGACAAGTATTTGTCATTTGACCACCGTTTTGTATGGAACCCTAGGGTGAACCCGGTCCAGCTGGTTCCAAAGGAGAGAGTGGCAACAAGGGCGAGCCCGTAAGTACTTCTATAATCACAATTTTATAGGGTTATTACTTTTCCGATCCAAAAAGTTAATACTCCTGCTTTTCAAAAAATGGTTATTATTTTTTCCCTCTGGCTGGATGTGACATAAAAGTGATTTTCTTCTGTTCCCTCCTCTTTGCTTTTTCCATTAAACAGGGCTCCGCTGGACCCCAAGGTCCTCCTGGTCCCAGTGGTGAAGAAGGAAAGAGAGGCCCCAATGGTGAAGCTGGATCCACCGGCCCCTCCGGGCCTCCTGGGCTGAGAGTAGGTCCCAGATGCTCTTGACACCCAGGCACCCCAGAGGGATATGACGCCCCTTCGTTGGAATTGGTCGGAATGACTGAGTGTATTTTCTAGACGAAGGGAGCATCTGCTTTCCATCTGCTTTATTAGATCAGTGACTCAATCTGGTCTGGAAACAGTATTGACCTACTTTTGTAGAATGTCTCCTGCACACATTCCTCTGGGGTTTGGGTGAGATTTTTTTTGCCTTGGTTTGTTTTTGTCCGTCTCCCTTATGGGGACCATGGTTCCTTGCATGCATATGCCATGTTTCTATAGACGCTGCCCCACTGGATTCTAGGATTTTCTCTGACTCTTGCTGTTTTGCGTCCTTTCTCACAGGGAAGTCCTGGTTCTCGTGGTCTCCCTGGAGCTGATGGCAGAGCCGGTGTCATGGTAAGCTGTCCGTTACTTACTCCTGGGGAGAGCATGGGGGGGTGGGTGCGTCCCCGGCTTGAGCACCCTCCTCTCCCCTTCTGCTGAATAGGGCCCTCCCGGACCCCGTGGTGCTACTGGCCCTGCTGGCGTCCGAGGTCCTAATGGAGATGCTGGTCGCCCCGGAGAGCCTGGCCTCATGGGACCCCGGGTGAGTTTCAGAAAGATTCTGAGCGAGTCACACCTGGCACCATTTCCTTTTTTAAAGGGACGATTCATATCAGAAGACGACAATAGAAAAAATCATCAAAAGTAAATCTGCTAGTAGATTTACTGATGGTTGGCTTTTTAATTTAACTTTATCAATGCCCAGAGATATTTTGACAAATTTGGTTAGTTCGTAAATTTCTTATTTATTGCTTGATACGATGGCTGTGAGGTTTTTGGAAGAGTAGATTGATTTTAATATATCCAAATTAGGTTGGGTTCCCTATCAGCATGAATCTTGAATCTCAACTTATGAGTTTTATATAAGGTGTTCATGAAACGTATTAGGACTATACATTATCAGTGTATTAGATTCATAAGTGAAATCATTTTTCCAGCAATCACAAAGTGCTATAATGTATTCAGCATCACACTAGCCACGGGGAAATGACCTTTAGATTCGTAGACACTCTAATCCATAGCAATAGAGTGATTTTTTTTTTTGCCTCCATTATCTCTTATGGATGAATATCATCTGTAATTGGACCATAAACAAGTAATAAAGACACCAAATATAGCAATAAAAAATCCAGTTTGAAAATTGCTGACTAAAAGTATTTGTTTTTCTGTTATGAGGTAAATAACATGATACAATGTATGGTGCTTAACAGTTTCTTGAGACATCTGTAAATGAATCCAATAAAAGGAAAGGCATAAAAGATAGAAAGAAACAAGATTTCAGACCTCTTTTCATACCTCCCAGCTAGCGGCTAATACCCCTAATGATTTACCCTAGGCAACAAACAAGAAGTCGGGTGGAAAGTGCTTTTGTGAGATTGTAATGAATTGAAGCCTCGAGTCTGTGCGTTAAAGTGCCAACCTGAAAGCATCCTCATTTATTTTCTAGGGTTTTCCTGGTGCCCCTGGAAATGTTGGCCCAGCTGGCAAAGAAGGTCCCATGGTAAGAATTGCTCATTTTCCATTCTCTTTTCAAGGACACTTATTGCACCCTTATCAAATCTATTCTGTGGCTTATTTATACATGAACACATTGAAAATAAATATCAGCCACATACATCATCTGGGAATGCAGGGTAATAGATTGTAATTATGGAGTCCAAATGAACGCAGGACTGAAAGGAGAGAAGGAAAGAGGAAAACATGGCAGGGAAAATTGAAGAGGGTGACGGGGGTATGGGATGGGAGGGGAAAGCAGGAATTGTGTACGTATGAGATTGACTTGGCCGTGTGTGTACTGACATCCTATTTAGTAAAGGAAAATGGAATCATAATTTATTGACCCTTTATACCAGGAAGCTGTTTGCATTCAGAAAATGATTCTGTTTCATCCCATGGCAGCATCACAAGCTTGAGATCGGGAGACCCTGTTGGTGCCCAGTGAGCTTTAAATAAACTCTGCTTTCAGGGCCTCCCTGGTATTGATGGCCGGCCTGGACCAATTGGCCCAGCTGGAGCAAGAGGAGAACCTGGCAACATCGGATTCCCTGGCCCCAAAGGCCCCACTGTAAGAACACCATGCCGTCTTCTCCCCCGGCACTTCTTTGCCACATTTCACCAAAATTCTGTTTTCTCTCCTGCCCTCAGTCCAGTCTGTCTCAAGAGGGTGGGGGGAGGTCCCTTTCCACACAAGAAAACAGCAAGCCACTTACCACGTTAATAACTGATCTCCAATATGTCACTGCACACCTGATGGAAATCCATCTATCCTGAGTCTATGCCTCCACACCTTGGTGTACTTGGACTTGCAAGATGATGGATCATGCCTTGGCTAACAGAATTCAAAGACTGGGCACGTTGGGAAAAAAAAAAAAAAAAGGCAAGAAATTAACATTGCAAAGTTGTCGTGGTGAATTTGACATTACATGTGTCCTTTTTTTAATGTTTGTTCTAGGGTGAACCTGGCAAAGGTGGTGAAAAAGGTCATGCTGGCCTTGCTGGAGCTCGGGTAGGCGCTGCCTTCTGCGTGTATCTGCCCACCTAGTGTGCGCTCAGGAAACACACCTCCTTTGAGGCCACCTGACAGAATTCTGTCATTTTCTTTTCAAAATGGCATCCCCAACTATCCTTTTACCATCACAAAATGTCTTCTTAAGAAAACAAACAAACAAAAACACACAAGGCAGTGAGCTGTAACAAATCAGAATGTATATTAGGTCTAAAGTATTCATGGATGAATTTGCTTTTCATTTATTTTATGATTAAACTGCTCTGCAAAGGCTAGTAGCATTCTCTGGCCTTCGTAAATTGCCCTCCATCTGTGGACTTCCCACAAGCCGTATCAAAAGTTAGTATTGGGGCAGGGGACCCACAATGAGTCATTCTAAGATGATAAGCTTTGAGGAAGCAATGCATGAGGCTTTGAGGCTTCTTAAACTGTCTCACTGGTAATTCTGTGCCTTCCTGTGAAATATTTCAGGGCGCCCCAGGTCCTGACGGAAACAATGGTGCTCAGGGACCTCCCGGACCACAGGTGGGTATTTCTTCCATTCTTGTTCTTTGCTGCCCTACATTTTTCCAGTCCAAAAGTTGTATAAGTAGACGGCAGGGGTGGCATACCTCTCTATTCATGCTCTCTTTACTGTCGCTTTCAGGGTGTCCAAGGTGGAAAAGGTGAACAGGGTCCCGCTGGTCCTCCAGGCTTCCAGGTAAGTCGGCTAAAACATACAGAACACTGCCTTTTAGTCCGATTGTCCAGCTACAAATCACCACAGCAGAATGTGGTTTCAGAATCACTGCTCTCCCCCACCACACAGAACACGATTTCAGAACTGTAAAGTAATGAGGTTCACTTTTTCAAGGCAAACTTTTGTGTAATGCTTTAATAACATATAATAGTTAGTGATCGTGTCGCTATCAGTATCCAGAAATACCCAATTACTAGTATCCTGTGAATATAGCCATAAGATTGAGATGTGTGTGTGTGTGTGTGTTTGTTTGTTTGTTTTTATCTAGGGTCTGCCTGGCCCCGCTGGTACAGCTGGTGAAGCTGGCAAACCGGGAGAAAGGGTGAGTAAAACAAGTGCTTAGTAGACTTACCTAAAGCTGGGACATTTTCCCCTTGTAATGCCCTCCTCCAGTGCAATTATAATAGGCAAAAAGGAATTTCTTATTTCATATGCTAATGATAGTGTTCTACCTACCTGGTACTTTGGAGAGAATAAACCAAGTTACTCATTTTTGTTGGGATAACAAATCCTTCGTTTTAAAGACTGAATGAAACACTGCATTATGGAAGTAAAATGTACCAATGAACATTCTATTTAATAGCCTTACTTTTTGTATTGTTCGTGGTAATGTTAACATGCAAATTATTTCCTTTCCCAGAGCGAAAAAGTAAATGCACTGATTTTCCATCAAACTAGACCCTGAAAAATTGCGTTTAATGTTTTTCTTGGCATTCAGACATGACACTGCTAGCCACAATCAGGGCATGAATTCTGAGTCATTTTCTCTGGTAATTGTGATGAATGTGCCTCAATTCAGTTACATTCTGTGGCCGGGTCTCCTTTGTCAACAGTGGGGCACATTAAGGAGACAGCTGGTCAGTAATAAAGGAGATCCACTTGGGTATACAATTAACTAGGCAATGTGCAGAATATGATCATTTCTATTAAGAAAGCAGTCTGTTATATAACTAAAAATAGGCAAGGTCTGATACTGTTCATCATTATTTATCATATTATCAAACGAGATAGTCTGTTTTGTCACTTTTTTAAAGCAATAAACTAAGTAATGGAAAGCTTAAGTTTGCTGATACCCGGTTCTAGCATAGAAATATCTTTGGTATCAGTGAAATTCTCACTTTTTCTACCTGTCCATATACAACAAATTGCTCTTATTTCTAATAGCTCTGTACTTATAACTCAAGGAGGGAGAGCCTGCGTGGCTTTATGTCCCTGATTTGAAACTTGCCTAAATATCATAATCATAAGTGGCGTTCGAGAACATACATACATTTCATGATTTATTTGTTTATTATCATGCTTTGCCTAGGGTCTCCCTGGTGAATTTGGTCTCCCTGGTCCTGCTGGCCCAAGAGTAAGTGTTATTTAATTGAGTTTCATAAACTTCTGGCAGCGTGTTTGTAAAACAAGTAGGGGATTTCGTTTAAAAGCCATTGATGACCTTGAAACAAGTTCCTGACATTCTTCTGTAGTTACACATAATCTGTAGAAAATGTTTGATTTGTACATTAAATCAAACTTCTAAATTTAATTATTCATATTTCCGAGCCAAAACCCACATGGTTATAAGAAACATAAATGAGTTAATATATGCATTATATTTAGTAATGTATGTATACAAGTATGATATATTTATGATAGTGGCTCACCCTGAGCCAAGGAAAAGTAATATCGTACTAAGATTCAAAATCAATTTTTGCAACGTGTGTTGATGCTCTAACTCTGGAGCTGAAACCATGAATCTGCTCTTATAAAAAAAGTAAATAGATTTTGTTTGTCTGTAGTTATGAGAATAACTGGAATGATTAGTTTGCCCAACAGGTATCCTATTATATGATCAGTTACCAAATTTAGTATCATAGAAACATAGTTATGACAAGGGTCTTTGAAACAGGTGCAATGCGGACTGTGTACATGTTAAATATTCTGGGCCATGGAATATCATGTCATGATGATACTTACATGCAACTGGGAGCTATTTAGAATATCTCATCTACACCTAGCATTGCTCTTCACTTAAAATGGCACCGTCTTTGCCAATGAATACCATGCATAACTGATGTCTGTTCTTCCCTCTGGATCTATTGCAAAAAAAGACAAAAGAAGATGACTTCCAAAGGTGGAATATTGTACTCTAGAGGAAAAGCCTTCTGGAGTTGTGGCCCCAGAACGTTAAAGCCAAATGAGACCTTAGAGATGATCTCATCCCATTCATTCATTCTACTACCAAAGAAATTAAGGAAAAAATAATTATAATTTGTTAATGGCAGAACCCGGATTCAAAAGCTAAAAAAGTATGAACTCTGATGTGTAAAATGGTATCTCTGAAAGCGATGAACAGTGTAACACTTCTACTCTGTCTTCTCTTTTTCTTTCTTCCTTCCTTCTTTTTTTTTTTTTTTTTTTTTTTTTTATTTAACAGGGGGAGCGTGGGCCTCCTGGGGAAAGTGGTGCTGCTGGTCCTTCTGGTCCTATTGGAAGCCGAGGTCCTTCTGGACCCCCTGGGCCCGATGGAAACAAGGTAAAATTTTATGTTCCATATTGCCACTTGGGCCCACTATACTCTACAGTAACTAGATCATTTACAATAGTAAATAAATTGTTTTTCAGAGTTTTTATTTCCAATTCTGTGTTGATTTCCATCCCAGTAAATGACAATCTGATTCTGGTGGACCTGAATTATTCCAAAAGAAGGGAAACCCCAGTGTTCCACACACATAAACAAATTAGTATGGGTTTTTACTCTTGTCTCATCACACTGTTGATACTTTGGGTTACTTGGGGATTTTTTTTTTTAAGTTTATTTTAATTTTGAGAGAGAGAGAGAGAGAGAGAACACTTGCAAACCGGAGAGAGAGAATCCTAAGCAGGCTGCATGCTGTCAGTGTAGAGCCCAACGTGGGGCTTGATCTCATGAACTGTGAGATCATGACCTGAGCCCAAATCAAGAATCAGACACTGAACCCACTGAGCTATCCAGGCTCCCCTATACTTTGATTTTAATCTAGAAACATTGTATAATATTGGACACTATTTTTAGAGAATGAAGTTTCACCTTCTTACCATACTTTGCTACTTGAGAGAGTAAAATTTCAAAAGGCAGTCTAAATTTTAATAACAGGAGAGGTAAAAATTAAGTGGACAATATACTCATCCCCAAAGCATAAGCCTGACAACTTGTGTTTCAAAACAGAATCTGTGGTGTAGATTTTAAAATAGATAGAATTACGCATTTCTGAAAAACAGGTTACTTTAACTGCAATACAAAGAAGTAACTCAAATATTACTCCTGCTCCTACCTTTGAGGGGAAAAAATGGAAAGATTAGCTGCAAAAAGCTATTTTTGTATGTGGAAGGATGTTAGAAAAAATTAAAAGGTAAGAGGGAGAGAGGAAATATGAAAGAAAATATGGTTCGGTGAGGTCGTACTTCCAAAGACTTTTATCTTAGAAGTTAGTCAGTCGGTTTGAAGCCTGTGCAATAGTAGGGTTTTTATATAAAGTGGAAGCTACGGTCCCCGCTCTTAAGGAGATTAAAATGTAAACATCTGCCCCGTTGATGAGGTTTCATTCCATATTCGCTGTGTGGGCTACGAGACTTATCCTTGAAAAATGTTCGTGGGCAAACATTTTCCACTCTCTGCATACTATTGTCCTGTCCTCTTCTCCACGCCTCCCTGCCTGAAGACGACTAGGAGCGGATGATGCAAAAATCACAGCCACCCACTCCCACTTCTCTTCTCTTTAGCCACGGTGTCATTAACAGCATCTCCCTCTGTTATGTTCTCCCTCCTTTCAATGGCCCTCCTTTGTGTCTCTAAACAGGAAAGAAAGCTCTCTATTAAATGTTTAAATTGGAATCCCGCAAGAGTTCGAGTCTTCATTTTCTTCTTTTGCCGCTGAAATAATTGATTTCACATGTGTCTGATTCAAGGGTGAACCCGGTGTGCTTGGTGCTCCAGGCACTGCTGGCCCATCTGGTCCCAGCGGACTCCCGGGAGAGAGGGGTGCTGCCGGCATACCTGGAGGCAAGGGAGAAAAGGTACCCTCTCAGTGCTGGGCCTTAAGACATGTTGTTGATGAACTCTAGCAAAGCAGGCTGCACAGGGTTGCCCAGTTTTTCTTACAGTTCTTGGTCGGTGGTCTGGTAGCATTTTGATATCTATCAATACGCATTTCCCTCTGCCACCTAGCACCTACGCATTTCTAAACTCACTAATCTGGCAAAATTCCTTGCTACCATGGAATTTCACGCAAACAGATGGTGTTGAGTAATACATGAGGCTCATTTTAATGCCACTAACAATAATGCCTCATCCTGCCCTAATTAATGGGAAGAAGCTATATTGAACAGCTGTCAACCGTGCTGCCGCATTAGTTATGCCATAAGAGTGATCAGGCGCCGAGGCCCATTGTGATGTTGCCTTAGAATTCCGTCCACATGAATTTGTACCTTGCTTGACTATGCTTCAGGAGGGTGTATGGAAATTAGAGAAGAATATTTAGCCATAATCTGGAGAGGGCCTTGAATTATCCCCTCCTTAATTTTCTTCTAATTCAACATCCTATAGAATGGTAGGGAATAGTAGAGAATCAAGATGTAAGCGATTGAAGGTATAAACGCTTCAGATTAATTCTGACTTGAAAATCTGGTTAGGAAACAGAAAGCTACTCTTGCTTTATACTTTCAGGGTGAACCTGGCCTCAGAGGTGAAATTGGTAGCCCAGGCAGAGATGGTGCCCGTGTGAGTAGAGTTTGTTTGTTTGTTTGTACTTAGATGGTTGTTTTATTTTATTTTATTTTTACATTTCGCTCGATTTGAGGTCAGCAGTTTTCCAAAACAGAACTGACAAAAGGAGAATCCGGGTTTAGTGGAAGAGTATTCCTTTCCTTCCTGGATCTCTGAATAGTTAATATCATTTCACATGTTCCAAA